CGGCATTGGTACCAGCAGCACCGGCGGGTCTTCCCACCATCAACAAAGGCAGAGAGCGAAGGCTTTGTGAGCCAGGCTTCCTCTCCTCAGCCACAGAACGTTGTGGACTTCACGGCATTACCCTGCAAGCAAGCGCTAAATATCTCAGCAACAAGCAAGGTGCCTCCACGGGGCAGGAACACTGCTACAAACAAACATCACGAGGCAGCTGCTTGGGCTTTGAGGCCAGGACCATGCTTGTCTGTCGTCTGACACTGTTGGGTCCTAATTTTTATCAGGGCTGATCAGCGCTACCAATTATCCATAGCATTCATGGGCCAAACAGCTTTACACAAAACACCTTGTAGAAGAACATCAACTGACCAAACCTAGAGTAGATGCGCTCTGATGAAAGGCCAGCACAGCGAGGCTGAGCTCTGGCCCTTTGCGTTCATGACCCTTAATAAAGGGGCATTAATGGACTCTGCAGCAGAGGCAATTTGTAACGTGATCGTGAGATCTCCACAGCTTTGCAGGAAACCCAGGAGACCCAACCAACCAGACCCCAGGGCTGAGTCTGCAAACCTGGAACGTGTTCATCACCCGGCTGTCACTGCTGCTGCGCCTGCAAGACCTCTGGCAGAAGTGGATCAAGCAGATCCAGGACAGCCCAGCGGCAAGGACGACCTCCTCCAATGTTACGTCCGGCTTACACGCCGTGATGATAATCTCCTGGCTGTGTTTTGTGCGTGTGCTGGTCGTCTGGGGCTTTTAAGAGCACCTCTTGTAATTGTGGCATTTGAAGTTGTGTGGCTAGCTGTGACCCAGAGGTGCAGATTACCAGGCTGCAAGAGTTTGCGAAGGGGACGTATCTACATTTTTACAAGGTCCTGCCTGCATTAATTGGTCTTACTAGACACCTTTACGGCAGAGAAGGCAATAAATCTCTCCAGTCAATGTTTTGGACGTTTCTTTACCAAGGTCTCTACCAAGGGTTTCCAAAAAAAAAAAAATTATTTTATTGCTGTAGCGTGCAGAGGTTTGCCAAAGAACAGACCATGAGATCATGAACCAGAGAACAGCATGCCTGACTGGGAAGTCCCTGGGGGACGTCGCTCCATGGCAGAGGAGGGCGGGTAGACTCAGCTGGATGCACTTGCTGTACTCTGAGCCATGCTCCATCATCCACGCCTGCATTCTACCCCTCCTCTGTCACGCCAAGGAACTGCAGGGAACTCCCAGACACATCACTCACTGGTAAAAACCAAAGCATTTTGTGAAAGAAGCAGTTCCCCGAATCGTTGTCTTATTGCACAGTTTAGAGCTGCAACTGCTGCCCTATCCTCCTCTCCTAACACCGGTCCTGCTCACACGTAACCAGTTCTGAGAACAGAAATCAAAATCACAAAGCAGTGACTGTGCGAACATGCAAAGGCAGAGAAATACTGCTTTTGGAAGCACTCATCTAATAACTTGAGTAATTCAGGTACTTGCAATCACTGCCAGAGGGCTATGTGCAAATCAGGCTGCAGGTTCACCACCAATTTGCATGGGTATATTTAAAAATTAGCTTGTCTAGAAAGGCAGAAATTTCACACTAGACCAAAGTTGCAAGTCACTGCTGCCCAAATAACACTCACGTTATGTGAACCTGCGCCTTTGCTGCCAAACCCTGCAGGGCTTTGGGTCATTTGGGACAGCGGGAGGTGAAACTTCTCTTCGCAGAGGTGCTTCCTTCAGTTCGCACCAAACCACCCGCCTGTGCGGCCAGGCAGGGAGGGGACACGAAGCCCACGCCTCTGCTCTGCGGCCAGGAGCCCTTCCGCAGCCCACTGTCAGCATGCCTTGAGGACTGGCACTGCCAGACGACTGCTCCCGAGAGCGGGGCTGGCCTCTGCTGCCCTGGACAGGGCATTTCTATGTCTGTTTGCTTACGGAAAGAGAGGACGCGGGCGGATGGAAGGTGAGACCCGATAGTTGGGTCAATGTTTGCAGACATTCGTCCAAGAAAACAACTCACTTGCTTAGCTCCAGGCTTCTGGTCTATGGGCGTCATCCGTAAGGTTTTTGCTTCTTTTTCGTACTGGCAATAATATTTCACCCAGGAGATGCCCAGCGCCCCTGCAGAAACAGACGGGAAGCTGAAGTCAGAGACGGCACCTTAGCTAGACACAGCTGGCAGGGCATGGCCGGCGTGTCCCGCACGTCTGCGCTTTTCTGGGGATGGCCATGGGGACACCTCCCCTGCCAGCGTCTCCACTGGCAAGAGCCAGGAGGAGCGAGAGGAGGAGAGGTGCGTGGGGCGGCAGCTGCCTCCAGTGCCCTCCCAACGCTGCCGGTGAAAGGGCGTTTGTGGGACTCTGGTCGCGAGCCAGGCTGGTTTGGCCAAGTCCAGCCAAGAGCTACACTGGCAGGATCCTACGTGTCTTGAATGCTTGTTTCACATAGACACCACTATTTTTTCCTGTTGATGAAAACTTGGCAGTAAAGACAACAGCATCTTTAAACCACTCTAAAGTTCCTATTTATATCACACTAGATTTATTGTCATTTTTCTTTGTTGTCTTACGTGAAGACCAACCCTTTATATGAAATACTTCAACTGATATTTTTTCTGTATTTTTTTTTTTTTAAATTGCAGTTGTCAGGAAGAACAACTCTCTTCATACTCAATTTATAGGGGAAACATAGAGGCAGCAAACAGTCATTGGCATGCACGAACATGCAACGTTCGTTTGTGGTCTAAAATCCCTGCCTATGTGCTTTCTTTTAAAAGCAGGATAAGCATACATACAAATATATGTATAAATACATTTGTATATATAATCCAGAAAATAACTGCTCACAAAGTAAGTTGTCTGTAGACTCAGAGGCCACAGCTCTGCACACAGGCTTTTGTCCCCTGAGTGTTCATGCTTGCATGGCCAGGGAGAGCTACAGTGAGTATTTGTAAAAGACTGAATTTGGTTTGATTTGATTCTGCACAGAATCACAAGTTTTGCCCTCAGCAGCTTAACCCTCATCGCCAGTTAACACTTCAGCTGTGCTCAGGTGCCCTCAGAGACGCTGTAAGAGGGAAGCTGGGCAGGACACCAGATTCCTTCTGATAAAATGCAGCCAAGGTGCAATCTGCCAGAGCTCTGGCCTCTCCAGTGCTACAACGGAGTAATAAATCTCATCTAATTTGAGCGCAGGGCAATTAGCTCCTTGCTTACATGGCTCATGTAACCCGGAGAAAGCTCTGTACCACTGCTGAGAAAGCTGGCAGCTAAAGTTGCCGGTGATTCCCCAGGCACCCTGTGCACGGGCAGGCGGTGACACCCCGTGCAGCACGGCTCATGGTGACGCCATGGCTAAAGCTGGCCTGGGCACGGGAGCCACGCGCAGCAGGGCTACGAGCAGGGCAGCCCAGGCTTACATGTTCTGTAACGTATTCAGGTGCATAGAAAAGCCATTACATTTCTCCTGAGTGTACAGATAGCCCTCAATGGTCGGCTGCCCAGGTAGCTTGCAGGTTAGGGGGGCTTCCTTCATCCTCTTCTTCAGGTCTTCCAGCTCCTCCCGTGTGCTGGAGAAATGATTCCTTGTCTGTTAAGAGAAACAAAAAGAAGCACATTTGAACATGAGCAAAGAGCGAGTTTCAGGTATCCCCGGTCGAATTTGAGGTGCTCTGGCAGAAATGAATCAGTTCCCAATGTAGAAAATGTGGAAGCCACTCCACAAATTCGCATGAACGCTCCAACTATAAGAACACTGGGCTCTTAAAAGATGATTGAAGAGACAAGGTTTAACATACCATGCGTGGAAATGGTGTTGAATCATGACTGGGAGGACACTTGCTCTTTCAATAAAAGAAACTTAGCACATTTTAAGGCTAGGTAGAGCACAAGGAAGCTCGCACCCTTGTTTAGGTAACAGGCGTATTCTCCTACAAACACAGGTGTTGACTCCTCAAAAGATCATGCTACGCTGCCTGGCATGAAATCGTTTTTAAAGAGTCACATCAACATGGGATACAAAATCAAGGCATTTTTATGGAACACCACTTAGATCAATTAATGAGCCAGCAGCAAACTCAGCTTGGCACAGATTTATGGCTGTTGTTCCACAGGAACGAGGGCCAGCTATGAAAGACTGTGGATAAAAAAACAGGACACAGATATTTTACCCCATGAGTATACTTAGACAGCGGAGGAGCTTACCAAAGCATTTAGTAAGCCGATACCGTTAAGATCAAGATTAGAGGCCTTTCTAGAAGATGTGTACAATGTCGATCTCATGAAATTGGAAGAAATTCTCAGGCTTGTTTATGCACAAGGTTAAATGACACAATTGCAATAGCCCCTTCTAGACAGAGGAAAAACACTGTAATAGCACCTGAAGACTCTCTCGTGCAGGAGAGGAGAAAATGCACGAGAACTGAGAAGGAAATAACTTTATCTGCACCTCCCACAATGCAAACATGGACAGTCTGTTTTGCATGGAAAAGCCTTGCCACCAGAGGCATTTCAATACAAATAACAGTAGATGTCACATGCAAAAAATACTTCAGCTGGGCAGGAACTCACATTCTGCAGGCTGAGCTGAAGCTGCTGCTTATAAGGGAGGAAATCCTGCGTGAGCTCTACTGTCAGGTTGTTGTAAGTAAAGAGGCTGTGGAGAAAAGCCAGCACCTGCAAAGGAGGGAAAGGACACAGATTAAACTTCTCTTCTATATTTCTAATCAGAGGAAAGATAGACAGGAAGCGGGGTTTCAGAAATTATATATACAAATTTTTTTCTTCCAGTTTTGGAGTGATGCCAGTCTTAGTATGACTTATCCACCACAATGTCCCTAAAGCCCAGGTCTACCACCCACACATCTGTCTTAATAAAACACACCCGAAATGAAAGACCCTGCTGGGAGAACAAGAGCAGATCTGCAGACTGCTCGTCTGTGAGACCTACACGATCCCACGCTCAGCTGCGTCCAGTGCCAGGGCAGAGCCACCCCCCCAGGGCAGGCTCCCTGTACACAGCCACGAGCTGGTACCGCTGCAGCCTGTGCCGTGACAGGTAAGCAGACCAGGCAACAACTCTCTCCCTCTGAATATAGCTAATGCTTACCAAACACAAGGTGTCCAAGACAATTCGTAACAAGACCTCTAGCTACCTACAGCGTCCAGCCTGTTCCTCAGGATCGACTTAGAGACATGAGAAACAAGTCTGTGGCTTCACGGTGCTCCAGCAAACACCACTACGGCTGTTAAGCTGCAGCAATCCAAGTGTGCAAGATTAACTCCTGCTCCATCAGAAGACTCCCGAGGACCAAATCCAACCTGGTAACTCATCCCCTCCCGCAACTGTCAGCAAGTCAGCATATGCGAGCATCAAACAAGAAGGCCTGAAAGAAAAGGAAGCTCCTACCGGTTCAACAATACTGAATTTCTTGCTTTCCTGTACTTCCTGGATCTGGTACACATACTCGAGGGAGGACTCAAAGAAATTGTGTCTCTCTTTGTCAACCTGAAGGTCAGCCTGGAAGAGAGAGGGAGAGGTGAAAAAAGAAAATACATCACATCTAGCTTGACAATATTTGACTAGCTTTTGTCTGTCAGCCCATAAATAGTTCTCTCCTCACTTAAGAAAAAGCCTGCCAAAGGTGTCTGGCCCAGGTTTTGAACACTTTGCACAGAACCGGAAGACTGGAGCATTGGCCGTTCTTCTCAGGTCTGCCCTTTTCTGGTTGCCTTTCATTTATGGATCCAGAACCTCACCCCACTCTGCAAGGACAAGGCTTTCCTGAAGCGTATTTGTTATTTTAGCATAAGCTCCTTCTCCACCCGCAGCCCTGCACTGGTGAGAAGGCCACTGCCACAATCCTCTCACCTGACTCCAGCTGTGACCTGAAACCAGCAATTCCAGAGCTGCAGCACCAGGTAGGACAACGTGGCACGCCACGTTACCACAGCTTACACAAATTTTGCCTTGCAAAGATGCTTGTAGGTTGATCTGACAGCTGGTTTGACAGATGTGATTTGAGCCAGCTACTCTGATGTGGGCTGGAGCAGCTGGGGCTTTCCCTTCTTGTTGCAACACGTTTGGCAGCAGCAGCAGCTGGAAGGGGCAGCCCCCCTCCTCTGCCTGCGTCTCACTGCCACCGTGGGCCTGCTGCCGCAGCCACCCCTGCAAACACCAGGAGCTAGGCAGGAAACTATGCTGGCAAAAATAATAACAACCAGTTATTTTTCAGCCAGTTCAGTTCCCTGAGCCAGGTGAAAGGGTGGCCAATCCCCAGCTGTGCCCGTGTAACTGGTCATTGCTCTACACCGTACGAGAGCAAGCGATGACAATGCTTAAAGCCACTACTACCGTTCAATACACTAAGGAGAACTACAATCTCCATTTCCCTGGTCTCATCCAGAGAATCTAGGCCTTAGGTAGATTTACTTGCTTATCAGTTTCAACTGGCTACTGAAAGGGATGATTTTTTCCCCCTTTTTTAAGATCTAGAGCATCTGGTGGTGTTGCTTCTGGACCCAGCTCTGAAGAAAACTCCATACACACCTCCTGTAATTGGGATTCCTTCTTCTTGGAAGACAAATGCAAATGGCGATCCAGCATGGAATAAAACTTCTCACCATCCTTCTCAAACTTTTTCTTTCTTTCCTGTAGATGCAAGAGTTGAAGCAGAACCAGTTATTGGCATTTTCCAGATAAGAACATGCAACAATGCCAAGATACTTTGTGCAATTCAGTATTCCCACAAAAAAATTCTGGTTGACCCAACCAGAACAGGAGACCGCTTTCCTTTTGCTCTGCTTTCACAGTCTGTTGCCTACACTGCATTTAGTTATGGCTCAAGACCAACCTCTGGCAATACTTCGTGGCACAGGCACTTGAAGTATTTTGTCATGTTAGTATGGTGGCAAAAGCCCCACTGCCAAGGTATCGTTCCCCTCTCAATCTCTTCAATGCAAGTAAACTTGAGACATACTAATACATCAAAAACCTATTCACCATTTGCTACTGTGCTGTTCACGTAGTTCAGAAACAACTGGGCAAATAGTTTAATGTCAAAGATATGTCTGGGATACAAAGAGATTTGTTAGGAGTTTGGCAATTTTCTGTTTCGAAGCTTTTATTATGTTTTTCTGAAAAATATCAGAACGAAAGCAGAAGACAAGAAGGGCAGTACGTGGGAGGGAAGTCACAGTCTCTTTATTAGTGGTGGCGGAAAGAGAGATCACTAACCTTGCAGTCAAAGCTTACACAAGTTTTACTGTGTAGCGCCCACCCGGAATACAGCCCCGGGGAATGCTGCCTCAGGCATAGCTGTTTTACAATACACAACGTGAAGACTTCACCTCCTGGAGGTCCCATGCAGATGGTCTGGTTCTCACTGACCTACTGTACATCTCAAACATGCCTACCACGGGCACGCAAACACGAAGCGTGGACTGATTCGTTAAGAAAGACTTTGTGAAGGAATCACTATAACAAAGAGTTGTTTGCACTGACAAACCTGGAAGGGTAAATGTCCAGAACGAGAGCAAAAATAGAGAAGCTGAGCTGAGGAGCTGGTCGTTTGCTTATGCCTTACGACTGTGAAACCACAGAGGACTCTGGCAATCAAGAAACAACCATGAGTAGAAGCCAGGTTGACAAATACCCACATCAGATGGTAACTGAGCCATCAGTGATTGCTCAGAGGCAGTTAAATTGCTAAAATAAGGAAATTCCAGCCAGGCAGCAGCCTCAGCGCCAGGTCCAAGTAGCTGAGGACCAGTGTATACATACTACAGGGTACGTCTAGGATGCCCAAATTCTGTCTAGCTTTTGAAAGCTCAAGAAATTGGAAAGCAGGGTCATCCCAACCTCCTGTAGAATTACTGGTATCTTTCAACACTGATCTCCTAGAAGTTCTGAAATGCTGTTTTCTTGCCCCCGTTCAGAAATTCACAAATAAGCAAACGCACACCAATGCCACCACGAAACAGAGCAGATGGGCTCTGCCAGACTGGTTGATATTAGTTATTTTCCTCACAAATTCAGCAGTGACCACAAAGTTTGAAGCTGCATTTCCTAAATAAAATCCTTTCTCTTTTTTTAGTCAGTTCTCATGCCATGAAGTTTTGCTTCCCCATTCCACTTGCATGGACTGTTCAGTCTGCCTAACGGGATGTCCATCTGCCTAATGGGTGTCCCCCCTCAGCGGGACGTCTGGGGTCTCCCAAAACTGGTACTTTGGCTCAGCATGGTTGGCCCCTGCCGAACCAGCTGCTTTCTTCTCAGCCCCCTGCTCACAGCGGCTCCTGCTGTGTTGCCTCTGCAAGAGGAAAGGTTGTTTTGTGGTGGGCAGGTGGGCACACACCCGGAGATGCTCGTAGGCTGTTTACTGGAGCACGTGAAGCTTGCACAGCTCCCCATGTTACCCATCGCGGGCAGCACCTGTCAGAGGGCAAAGGCGCTCACAGCTGGGGCGGAGCCCCTGGCAGTAGCCATCTCGGCCTTTGCTGGAGGAACAGCTTGCTGTCAGCACCCAGGCTCGTGTTGGTGGGCACGGGTTCCTTGGAGGCGCCTCAAAGGGCAGACAAGCGTTACTGCCAGCTGCCTTCCTGCAAAAAGGATTTCTCACTCCACAAGACAGTCCTGTTTCTCTAATCCTTGCACATTGCTATTGTGAAAGCACAATTACTATGGAAAAATGCAGAGGCGCCAACTTGAATATCCCTGCCTATATTTAACTGTCTGGAGTAGGGCAGGCTTAGGCCAGCAAACCTTTTTGCCCCGGTAATTACATCTACTGCCCTACAGAGACCCTGTAATTACAAGCCCCCTGAAGGGAAGTATATCTTCTGGTGTCATCCTCTGCAATATCAGGGATACTGAACTCCGCGTTAGCAAATTCATGCCTCAGAATAGAGATCCATATCAAATCCAGAGGAGCAGAGAGTCCTCTGAGGGTGAAACCTAATTTAAGCAGCGCTACAGCTGCAGAACCAATGCCAGGAAGGACTGTCAAAACAAAACACCACCCTCGTGACTAACATCCCTGATAAGTAAATCCAAACCCAGAGAAGCAAAAGTGTCTGCGAAGCAGCAATTACCACGTCTGTAAGGTCACACTTCTGGATTGTCTGTCTGTGCCAGTAGATGCCACGTCTAACGCAGCCAGGAACCTAGGCTTGTTTTCATTTCTGTAACGAGGCATCACCAAACCCCAAGGCCACAGAAGTGCGGTGAAACACAGCTGCACCGAGAGCACCGGCGGCCGACGCAGCGCTGCGGGTCTGCAGCTCACACCTCTCCTGCTGCCAGCTTCTCGCATCTCAGAGAGGATGGCTATGCGGCAGCAGGTCCCGAAATCCCCTGGTGATGGAAAGCTAGCTCCGAACCCAGCCAACGAGCCCAGCTAATCCCGCAGGGGTGGTCTCTCAACACAGCAAGGGACGGTGCCAGCCCTGCTCCTCAGGGGACCCGCGGGCCAGCAGCTGAAGGCGCAGCAGGAGAGGGGCTGAGGCACGCTCCCG